CTATCCACCCCCAGGAGTCTATCCACACCCATGAGACTATCCACCCCCAGGAGTCTATCCACCCCAGGAGTCTATCTCCACCCCCATGAGTCTATCTCCACCCCCAGGAGTCTATCCACACCCAGGAGTCTGTCCACCCCCAGGAGTCTATCCACCCCCATGAGTCTATCCACCCCCATGAGTCTATCTCCACCATCAGGAGTCGATCCACCCCCAGGAGTCTATCCACCCCCATGGGTCTATCCACCCCCATGAGTCTATCTCCACCATCAGGAGTCGATCCACCCCCAGGAGTCTATCAACACCCCCAGGAGTATATCTCCACCCCCAGGTGTCTATCTCCACCCCCATGAGTCTATCCACACCCAGGAGTCTATCCACCCCCAGGAGTCTATCCACCCCCATGAGTCTATCTCCACCCCCATGAGTCTATCCACCCCCAGGAGTCTATCTCCACCCCAGGAGTCTATCTCCACCCCCATGAGTCTATCCACACCCAGGAGTCTATCCACACCCAGGAGTCTATCCACCCCCATGAGCCTATCTCCACCCCCATGAGTCTATCTCCACCCCCAGGAGTCTATCCACCCCCAGGAGTCTATCCACCCCCAGGAGTCTATCTCCACCCCTAGGAGTCTATCTCCACCTCTAGGAGTCTATCCCCACCCCCAGGAGTCTATCCACCCCCAGGAGTCTATCCACCCCCAGGAGTCTATCTCCACCCCCAGGAGTCTATCTACACCCAGGAGTCTATATCCACCCCCAGGAGTCTATCTCCACGCCCAGGAGTCTATCCGCCCCCATGAGTCTATCCACCCCCATGAGTCTATCCACCCCCATGAGTCTATCCACCCCCAGGAGTCTATCTCCACCCCCAGGAGTCTATCTCCACCCACCAGGAGTATATCTCCACCCAGAGGTGTCTATTTCCACCCAGGAGTGTATACATCCCCAGGAGTCTATCCACACCCAGGAGTCTATCTCCACCCCAGGAGTCTAACTCCACCCCCAAGAGTCTATCCACCCCCAAGAGTCTATCTCCACCCCAGGAGTCTATCTCCACCCCCAGGAGTCTATCTCCACCCCCATGAGTCTATCCACCCCCAGGAGTCTATCTCCACCCCCAGGAGTCTATCTCCACCCCCAGGAGTCTATCTCCACCCCCAGGAGTATATCTCCACCCCCAGGTGTCTATTTCCACCCAGGAGTGTATACATCCCCAGGAGTCTATCCACACCCAGGAGTCTATCTCCACCCCAGGAGTCTCTCTCCACCCCCAGGAGTCTATCCACCCCCAAGAGTCTATCTCCACCCCAGGAGTCTATCTCCACCCCCAGGAGTCTATCTCCACCCCCAGGAGTCTATCCACCCCCAGGAGTCTATCCACCCCCAGGAGTCTATCCACCCCCATGAGTCTATCTCCCCCCCAGGAGTATATCTCCACCACCAGGAGTCTATCCACCCCCTTCAGTCTATCCACACCCATGAGTATATCCACCTCCAGGAGTCTATCCACCTCCAGGAGTCTATCTCCACCCCCAGGAGTCTATCTCCACCCCCAGGAGTCTATCTCTACCCCCAGGAGTCTAACCAGCCCCACGAGTCTATCCACCCCCAGGTGTCTATCTCCACCCCCAGGAGTCTATCTCCACCCCCAGGTGTCTATCTCCACCCCCAGGAGTCTATCTCCACCCCCAGGAGTCTATCTACCCCCAGGAGTCTATCTCCACCCCCAGGAGTCTATCTCCACCCCCAGGAGTCTATCTCCACCCCCAGGAGTCTATCTCTACCCCCAGGAGTCTAACCAGCCCCAGGAGTCTATCCACCCCCAGGAGTCTGTCCACACCCAGGAGTCTATCTCCACCACCAGGAGTCTATCCACCCCCTTCAGTCTATCCACACCCATGAGTCTATCCACCTCCAGGAGTCTATCCACCTCCAGGAGTCTATCTCCACCCCCAGGAGTCTATCTCCACCCCCAGGAGTCTATCTCTACCCCCAGGAGTCTAACCAGCCCCAGGAGTCTATCCACCCCCAGGTGTCTATCTCCACCCCCAGGAGTCTATCTCCACCCCCAGGTGTCTATCTCCACCCCCAGGAGTCTATCTCCACCCTCAGGAGTCTATCTACCCCCAGGAGTCTATCTCCACCACCAGGAGTCTATCTCCACCCCCAGGAGTCTATCTCCACCCCCAGGAGTCTATCTCTACCCCCAGGAGTCTAACCAGCCCCAGGAGTCTATCCACCCCCAGGAGTCTGTCTACACCCAGGAGTCTATCTCCACCCCCAGGAGTCTATCTCCACACCAAGGAGTCTATCTACCCCCATGAGTCTATCTCCACCTCCAGGAGTCTATCTCCACACCCAGGTGTCTATCTCCACCCCCAGGAGTCTATCTCCACCCCCAGGTGTCTATCTCCACCCCCAGGAGTCTATCTCCACACCCAGGAGTCTATCTCCACCCCCAGGAGTCTATCTCCACCCCCAGGAGTCTATCTCTACCCCCAGGAGTCTAACCAGCCCCAGGAGTCTATCTCCACCACCAGGAGTCTATCCACCCCCTTCAGTCTATCCACACCTATGAGTCTATCCACCTCCAGGAGTCTATCCACCTCCAGGAGTCTATCTCCACCCCCAGGAGTCTATCTCCACCCCCAGGAGTCTATCTCTACCCCCAGGAGTCTAACCAGCCCCAGGAGTCTATCCACCCCCAGGTGTCTATCTCCACCCCCAGGAGTCTATCTCCACCCCCAGGTGTCTATCTCCACCCCCAGGAGTCTATCTCCACCCCCAGGTGTCTATCTCCACCCCCAGGAGTCTATCTCCACCCTCAGGAGTCTATCTACCCCCAGGAGTCTATCTCCACCACCAGGAGTCTATCTCCACCCCCAGGAGTCTATCTCCACCCCCAGGAGTCTATCTCTACCCCCAGGAGTCTAACCAGCCCCAGGAGTCTATCCACACCAAGGAGTCTATCTACCCCCATGAGTCTATCTCCACCTCCAGGAGTCTATCTCCACACCCAGGTGTCTATCTCCACCCCCAGGAGTCTATCTCCACCCCCAGGTGTCTATCTCCACCCCCAGGAGTCTATCTCCACACCCAGGAGTCTATCTCCACACCCAGGAGTCTATCTCCACCCCCATGAGTCTATCTCTACCCCCAGGAGTCTATCTCCACCCCCAGGTGTCTATCTCCACCCCCAGGTGTCTATCTCCACCCCCAGGTGTCTATCTCCACCCCCAGGAGTCTATCTCCACCCCCAGGAGTCTATCTCCACCCCCAGGTGTCTATCTCCACCCCCAGGAGTCTATCTCCACCCCCAGGAGTCTATCTCCACCCCCAGGTGTCTATCTCCACCCCCAGGAGTCTATCTCCACCCCCAGGAGTCTATCTCCACCCCCAGGAGTCTATCTCTAACCCCAGGAGTCTAACCAGCCCCAGGAGTCTATCTCCACCCCCAGGAGTCTGTCCACACCCAGGAGTCTATCTCCACCCCCAGGAGTCTATCTCCACACCCAGGAGTCTGTCCACACCCAGGAGTCTATCTCCACACCCAGGAGTCTATCTACCCCCAGGAGTCTATCTCCACCCCCAGGAGTCTATCCACCATCAGGAGTCTATCTCCACACCCAGGTGTCTATCTCCACCCCCAGGAGTCTATACTTTGGTTCTATTCGGTAAAGTCACGTAGGTAACAAATTAAAACAAAAATCACGACGTTTCGGCCACAACACAAGCGCCGATGAAGGCCGATTGTGTTGTGGCCGAAACGTCGTGATTTTTGTTGTTTTAAAATAGATGTAAATCATGCGATGGAGCATTACCACGTGATACCATCAACATATGAACTGCTCTATATGTTCTAATGCAAGGATGAGAACTTTAAATAAATTGCTTTCAACATGTATTTATTAAAAAAAATAGAACAATCTAACATAGAACAATTAAGTTAAATAAATAAAGTTATAAGAATAAAAATATACAAATTCCAATAAGTAATAGGACTTTTCAAATTGCAACAAATCTCAGCCTATATTCTTGGTTCTTTCAGTAAAGTCACGTTGAAGGGAAACAATAAAAAAATATATAAAACAATAAAATTCTCACGACGTTTCGACTGCAACACAAGCAGTCATCATCAGGTGTGAAAACGAACGGCAAGAACATTTGAAAGAAGTGGCGGTCCGTATCTATTTATTTATTTATTATATATTTTATTGCTTTATATATATTTTATTGTTTTATATATATTTTATTGTTTCCCTTCAACGTGACTTTACCGAAAGAACCAAGAATATGAATGACTGCAGTCACGAAAGCTTTAAATCAAAATTTAAATCTCAGCCTTTGCGATTTGCTAATCGCATTGTTTCAAATTGCGATTTCGATTTGAAATCGATAAATCGATTAAATTCCACACCGCCGCTGGCAACGCTCCGCAAGGCGGCGCCCTCCTTGAGGAATCAACGAGAGCAGGAGCGGGGTTGGGATCTTGGTCACAAGTTTCATTGATTAGGTACGGGCCCCCTGTGAGCCGTGCGGCTCTTGAGCCGGGTGCTACCGCAACAAACACGAGACACACAGAGCACGTCTTAAAGCGACGACGCGCAACAGGAACATCCCGGGATAAACCGGCAAATCTGCCACGCTCGTTGCCTGCTGCTGCTGCCGCTGCTGCCGAAGTCAACAGCAGGAGCAGCAGCAGCGGCAGCAGCAGCGGCAGAGCCTCGGAGAGGCTCCGGGACCCCAGCGCGCCGCTCTGCACGTCCTCACGTGGGGGGGGGGCCAGGGCAGCGATGGATGTGGCGCGCACAGGCGATGGCACCGACTCGCTGCTGCCCATTTGAACTTAGCCCCCTCCCCTTTCTCGGTCAATTCCCACCTCTTGGTAGCCCGGTACGCTTGGGCCACCCCGGCCCCTGGCGCAGTTGCACCGCCTGCGCACTCGACTACGAACGCCACTGAGCCGAGGGTTCGCGGACGCGCTTGGCCCGTACCGCTGTGCTCGGCGATGCCGTAGAACTCGCTGGCGATGCGCGCCGCCTCCTTGCGGTTTCCCCGCACGATGTAGAAGTGGCTGAGCAGCGCCAGGCTCAGCTTCACGCACAGCTTGAAGCAAAAGAGCGCCAGGATGCTCAAATAAATGTTTCCGAACTTGCGAGCGAACGAGAAGCTGTCGTACTCCGCCGACATGCTTGTTACAAGTGTGTTGACTTCGGCTCGCTGGATGCCCGGCTAGTTTAGGCCGACTATCTGCCTGCTGCTGTACTGGTCGGTTCAATGTTGTTTGTAGTCTGGATGCGAGCCGACTGGCTGGTAGTATAGTAGCCTAACTAGCTAGCTGGGCTGGTGGGCTAGTGAGCTCGTAGGCTAGCCGACTGGTGGGCGAAAAGGCGAACTTGGGTGAGCTGGGCTGGCTGGGCTTGCCTTGCCTGTCCGCACGGCCGTCGCTATCTGTTCCACCGGTTGTTGCTGCCGCCTTTCGTGTGGCAGCATTGGGGGGTGTGCTGCTGGGCTCTGCGCGCTCACGGCTCCCGGGAGACAGACGCGGTTTGAATTTCTGGAAGGGCGCGTTTAGGGCATCTCCGTGTGCGAGAGTATCATCATCGGCTCTCCCCCTACCTTCCGGTGAACCAGCAAACAGCTCGAGATTGATTTGTTCAACGGCGTTCACTCTCAATACACAGCAACAGTGGCCATGTATATACAGGGATTAAGTTTTATGTGAGCGCGGGCGATAATAATAGGGTTTGGGAGGGTACAGAATATTTGAATACATTGAGACTGCGTGCGATGTTTGTTCCGCTGCGATATAATTCATGACGTACTCTTGGATATGGATGTTTACAAAGGATCACAGGAAACACGCGGGGCACTTAGTTATTCACATTGGCACATTTATTTAATTGCTTATATATACTTAAGCAACAAAAATGGTACCCCACTGAAACACATTTTCATGTCGTCATTCCATAAAATAATATACAGTAGTGCTCTCATGCATATCTTTGCACATAGCACCAATGTGGACTGCATTCGCAGTAAAACTGCAATATGGCCTCGTTTATTGAATACCTTTACCCATAAGCAAAATAAATGTATCCTGGAGAATAGCAGTCTACAGATATTTTAAATAAATACTTAACATTAAACTACATGGATACAAACGAAAAATTACGATTTTTAAATACATTTTCTCATGCATAGTCATCCTGGTCATCAAATTTGAACAGTAGTTTTACAATTTGCAGCCGATTTGAGCTGTGAATGACACTTGCCGAGACCTCCGCCGGCGAACACGCTTACCACATGCTCCTCCTGGGATTGCCATAGCAGCCGACTCGATATTATTCACCAAGTATTTGATTCGGACTTCGTCTCTAGTCTGACAATGTCACCCCAATAAGCTATTCACCCTTACGAATGTTGAGGTGCAGACCGCCGACGACGATGCAGGCTTGCAGCACACTAATAACTATACAAACAATGGTGGGTCAGTTGCTGTGGCAAATGGAAGCAGTTTCTCAATGCAAGGCTGACCCATGAGTGCATCAGAGCAAAATATACAATTCCCCTATCGTATACCTTGGGTCAATACAGAGCTCATGTCGGGTTTGTGTATGTAGCATTAGTACTTGCTTGGGTGTCATTTTTTTGACTTGTGTAAACAGAATAATGCAATCCCTGAATGTCAAAATGTGCTTCTACAATCATTGAGTGTATGTTCAGGACAATGACTGGACAATATTACAAACAGCGGTGGAACAAACATGTAACCCAGACATTTTGAGAAGAGTGTTGGTGGCTTACACAAATGTGTAAAACGTCCAAACCCCACTGGGCCAGATGGCAGTGCAGTAAGTGGTTTTAATATGTATGGAGCGGGATTGCTTACTCATTAATTATCTTGGTATTTCTGTTTCCTTCCACATGCCAAACACTAATTAAGAGACTTCACCGAACTTCCCAATCCAGGACCCTAATGAAACTATGAAACCTCAATGAGTCATTCCCCATGAAATTTCCAATGCAAATATAACAAAAGTTGTATTTATTTGAAAAAAATGTTCAGTGCAACTTAAATTCTCCTTGTGAATATCTCCACGTTTAATTAATCATTTAAGTAATTTTCCTTCAGGTCTGCACATTTGCAGTAAAACCGCAGAAATGCTGTCGAGTGCAGTATTTACTGCAGAATATTACTGTCTCACTCCTGAAATGGTTGCCCAAAGAAAATGTTTATCACAGTCCATACTGTAAACCGCTCCTGGTATCCATATGCTTTTTAAATGGAACTCATTTTCAGATGATTAAAATATCTATAAATGAGAAGCTATGAGGCTTAAACTAAATTATTATATAAAAAATTGGCATATTCTATTTTTATATCCCGAAATAAATTACCGACTTCTGTACATTTGCTCTCAGCAATGGTACAGTACTTTTATAAATGGTAAGAACCTCATTAAGAACTCAGAGCGAGATATAGCTGTTTAGACAATCCAATACTTTGACTGGTTCTTCCTGCATCACCAATTTATCTTCATTATTATCAGCCACGATCTAGCCACGATTGGATGAAGACCTCCCCAACCAATTTACTGGATATAATTTTTACATTTGTCATACTCTTTGAAAACAAATGCCACACTTACTGAACAAATCTGTTGGATTAATATTAGAAAATAGCGTAATGCCTCCATCAATGTTTTGGTAGTGTCATAGCACAGCTATTGTTCATTGTATTCACGTGAGCAATCGTGACAATTTGTATGTAGGCCCTCCTGGTAAAACACACTTCAAGGGGCGATTCACATTTAGTTTTACAAGAAATCCATTCAATTGTATTCACTGATTTGTCACTTTAAAGTTGTATAATACAAACGTGTGTAAATGTAATGCATTTTTCTTTCCCCTAATAAGCATCTATCTTAATGAGGTTTCAATGTACCCAGTATTTATATTTTGCAAATAAAAAATGTTTTTACAAAATGTATTTAGCACGTAGAGAGGTGTGCAAACCCAGAAATGCCGATGTACAACCAGACATGGTGAATTTAGCTGAATACTTTAAGTGTGCAGCAGACAACATAGTTTATAGGTGTGTTATATTTCATAGGGTCATCTTTATACTGTAAATTTATGTTAACATCTTTCATGAAAAAACTTACGTAATTTTCTACAAGAATAATGACTTTTTTTAAGTGCAAAGAGACAATCACAATGTTATGATTTAATGAAAATGTATGAAATAGGAATGTATCACTCGGTAACAAAATGTAATAGTTGTGTGTACGTATGTAGAGTATGCATGCTTGTGTGTACACACATCTAATTTAAACTTCAAGGGAGGTCGTGGTCGGCTTTCCTTTGCAGCAAGCACAAACGACTGCGCACCTCCTGCACGTAAGCCCAGTTCGCTGCCAATACCATTAGGTAGTGAATCTGCAATATTTGTACACAAAGACACAATATGAGCCACAAGCGCGTGCACACACACAGCCTTATAAAGTGTAGGGGCAAGTATTATTAATATCTACTAAAGGCGGGCACAGGAAACACAAGGGGCTGATATGGCCAGAACTATTCGCCAATTGAAGAAAATGGTCAATACTTTTAATCACCAAATAAACATGCGTTTGGATTATTTGGCTGCTATCAATTTCCATATGATGAGCCACTTCGTTGATTTGATTTCTAATTTGTGGCCAGGTTGCTTCTAAAAAGAGATAATAGCTGCGGGCTTTGCCTGGTAAATAAAAGTTTAGTTTAACTGGGCAACATTGAAGTTCAGCTAACAATAACTTTATCCAGGAATGAATGAGTTGTTTCACATGTAAAACTGGTTTCTTATAGATAAAAACCTTTCAAAACCAGACTTCAGTAAGCCGAAAATAGGGTAACACTATTGGAAAAAAATCGTTTTTCATAAATAAACCAAACACGCTCAAAATAACACCAAGGCGCACTACCACAGGTGGGACTGACCACAGCGGACCGAGTTCTCTGTGGGAAGGAACAATCTCGAAAGCCTACTCACTTCTAAATCTTTTGTAGTAATTTTTTCGATTACTTTAGTATAAATACATGTTGATTTTGATTCATGTTGTTTTTTCTGACTTTATGTGAACGAAAAGACACAAATTCGCCCGTTTTCTCATTGAAAATTGGTCAATTTCAAATGATCACTGTCCTGGTCACAAAAGCAAAGTTTGTGGGGAATAATATCCATTTTCTTTACTTTTTAGGCATAAGCAATTACGAAATAACACTTACTACCCAGGAACAAAAATGTGTTACATAGTGTTATCTGAACCTGTCTTGGGCCTCCCCTAGGTCGACTCAGTCTCAAATGCGTGGCTGGTGTGGTGTTAAAACATCGCCACGGGGGAGACAAAAGACGTGGTGCTGGCCACCAACTTCGTGTACCGTGCCAGCCTTCAGACGTGCTCGCCAACAGAACTTACCTCAACAGTCTGTTTAGGCTATACGCGGGATCTGTCTTTGTGTGCATATGCCCACTTGTGTGTCTGTGTGCGTGTGTGCACGCGAGTGCCCCCGTGTGTGCAATTATGGTGACACGATGTCCCCCTTCCAACAAGCAAGCCAGCATCAGGACTCTCGATAAGTGAAAATAAAATTGATTGTTTATTTGTTGCTTTATTTTATGTTGTATTTACTATATAGTATGTTTACAGTGTTACGTGTAAATGTACATTTATACTTATGAGTTTCACAATGTGTCCCTTTTTTATTGAACCGTAACACATTTCATAACACTGACCGTATGGGCATTTAAATACAGTATAATTGTATTCTGACTTACGAACCGTTCGACTTACAAACGGGTCTCAGGAATGAATTATGTTTGTAAGTCGAGGACTGCATGTAACCTAGAGGGGCTTCTCCCCCACATTAGTCCAGCTTTACTATAAATGTAGTTCTACTGAGATGAGTTGCAATAATGACAACTCAAAATGTCACCATATTGATTCAAAACACGTGTATTACTGTGATCAAATGTACTCCAACTTTACCATGGCAATTGTAGCCAGCAGCGCCCCAGCCATAGATACCACAAACAGATGGTACGTCACATCAAACTGTAAAACAAGTCAAAATATTAAGACATTCACAAGGAATTACCCACATTGCATACGTAGTGTTTATAGCAAACTGGGTATTGCAAGCATCTGCCAGTCGACCTCGCTCTATAAAATGGGATGTGTATCCCTGCCCAAGAGCAATGGGGTAATGCTCATCTCTGTTGGTGACCTTGAGCCAGAGGTAGAAATTTCACATTCATATGACAAAAGGGCAGTTTCCCCATTGGACAACCACTTGACTTCTCAGAATGTAGTCATTTTATCAACCTTGGAGAATAAATGGCCTTAGTTAATGCACAATTGGGATTTCAGCTTAAGAGCTTTCGATCCGAAGTCAAAAAATGTTTCTCTAACCAGTGTCACCTGGACAAATTAGGAAAATGGATGACTAACATGTAAAAATAAATAACAGGTTAAAACAGTTAGTCTACGGAACTATAATACCACAAACTGTCAAGAATTCATGACATTTCTGAGGTCGGTAAAGGGTTGACTGTCTCACCACAATGTAATGAGTCTTCAGAGAGTTAGGAATTCTAAAGGTGATTATTACAAGGCTATAAAAACAACGGGGATGACAGTATTTGTCTCACCTCTGCAGAACTGCACATGTCTTCCAATGCAGTTTCACACAGGATTGTGTCACCCATAGACCAGGGTAGGACCCCTGAAAATGTTAATATTCACCGCACGATATACACACCAATGAGCTTTGAAGATGTACCACATTACACAATGCTGAACTTTAATTATATTAATTAGCTATTCAAAACACAAGCAACAACTTAAATCTTGCCTGCCAAAATTTAGCATTTAAAATTTTCACACATTGCAAATAAGTGAGAAACGTTTGTGCCATTAAAGACGTTCAACTCGTGACACTAAAGAGCCTGATCTAATCACAGGTGACTGTCAAACTCAGGATTTGAGTGGTATATGCTCACGAGTGATAAAGAATCGGTCCATGGCCATCTGATCAGCTCAGATGACAACTCAAACTCCTGCAAAGTGGTATTCGTTTTATTGATTCTGGAGAAATGTTGGGCTGAGTAGATCCCTGATTGATATCACTGTGTAACAAAAAAAAAGTTCCTGGGTAGTAAGTTTTATTTCCTAATTGCTTATGCCTCAAAAGTACAGAAAATGGCTATTATTCCCCACAAACTTTGCTTTTGTGACCAGGACAGTGATATTTTGAAATGTACCTATTTTCAATGAGAAAACGCGGTGTGCATTTGTGTCTTTGGTTCACAAAGTCCTGGTCACAAAAGCAAAGTTTTTGGGGAATTATAGCTATTTTCTGTACTTTTGAGGCATAAGCAATTAGGAAATAATACTTACTACCCAGGAACAAAAATTGTGTTACATAGTGTATTTTAATTGACAGTGATTGTGCGCCAGGAGTGAAGCTCTCAATTTTTATTCTGTACAATTACACAGTGTGGAATGTATAAGGATGGACTGGGCACCATACCATATTGACGGATGTCGACACACACCGGAAACCCAAGGGCTGAATCGGCACAGGCAATTGATATGGCCCGGAACACCCAGACCGGAATTGCAAGCAATCCAGTTAGAACAATCCACACCAGCATGAGCAAGTAGGCCACCCCTAGACACTGACATGCAAATATAGGCATAAGCACACACTCAAGTCGCTCTACGTATACAAAAGACAAACTTCCCCTAATAAGCTATACATGTTGGTGAAAGCGATGTAAGAGGCAGTACTTATTTGTGATTTTATACAGTGTCTACATAATCTCATTATGCTGCAATAAGGTTGGCATGATGCACCATCCCCAGCTATTTTTGTATCCCCAGTGCTAATGCTTAAACATCAAACTAGGTACTCATTTAAGGCCGAGTCAACCTAGAGGTTAATATACCATGTGTCACGGATGTTAGCAGTGACCAGAAATGGAATTCACTTAACTTTTGACATGCGCAACATGTTGATATTATAATTCTGCATCTCCATGTCTCTTGAGGCTTCCCATGTTTCTCTCTGGACTTCATCTGCATCTCTGTATCTTTGTGTTTGTTACTATCCATGTCTCTTTGTAACTGTCTCTCAATGTTTGCCTTTGGGGGCCTATATCCCCCCCCCATCTGCACAGAACCCCACTTTGTGACGATTGCCTGAATTTATTTGAAGTGGCTTGTGTAAAGGTGAAGAATTGTAAGTATTACCATGGCATGTATGCAGCGCCCGAATGTTGTCATGCTGAATGTGCCATACAGGTCTGTGACGGACCCTGTTGTGTAGATGCTTTGAGTAAGTAGCATCAGTGAGCAGAACGCACAGGTGGAAGCTAGCCCATAGCTTAGGTACTGGGCCCTGCTAACACTGCGCGCACACACACATACACACACAGGTATATTGGTGGAGATTGTACAAAAAAATCCACAAAACTCGGGGCTAAGCCGACTTGGGTAACACAAAATACAACTAATTTAAATACCAATTGGGTAGGTTTTGGATGGTATTCAAAATGGAACGTTACAAACCAATGCTGTAATTAACCAAAGCCAAACCAACGAACAGCGGCGATTACCATATTCTCATTACAATCGTGATATCATCTGGAATGCAATCAATGGCAGTCATTACATTTAGCCGAAAAAGTGATTCCCACCCCGATGCCTAACCTGTGCAAGCTTACACATTTTGCATGTGGTTCAGCGCGTCTTCATCAAGGGTGGAGTAGAAGGATTGCAGGACGGTCACGGTGCCAGTGAGGGCCTCGTGCCCACACGTGCACGCCAAGGTCACTCCCGTGAAGCAGAGGATCGTTGCCAGCAGCGAGGCGTACGGAACCCCTCCCAGGCATTTTATGCAGCACTCAAAACATCCTGCGCGGCACGAGGACAATCGAGAGCAACAAATCGGCACGGTACAGTATCGTGTCTGTACGTACGGGTATGTTGAACTTCTTTCGCACCGTACGTAGCCAACCGTGATAATCGGAGGTGCGATATACACGCGAACCACTGAACCCACGACAGGGTAGATACCTCGTTGGGAGTTGGGTCCGATTTCCAAGTGCGATGTGTAGTTGGTGTTACAGGCTGCCTGCGAAGCCACGTTGCTCGCAGAGGACAATGGAGCCCTCTGCTAGCAACGTGGGTGAGTTCTTCAGGGACCGCATAGTACAGAACAATAGTTTATAATTCAGACTTTGCGAGGTGTAAGTCTCAGTAGCACTGGCGTGGTCACTCACGTGCAGCACGCGCCAGTGAATTCTCGGTAGCGCAGAGGCGTTTGAACACACACTTTCAAGTATTATTTTCTCTCCAATTAAAGAAGTTTAAACTCGTGTTTTTGTTTTGCATTGGGTGGGAAATGTACATATTGTTTCACCGACCCCATGTTATAAAATATTTTCTCTTTGTCAATAACAAATGCACTTTGTAACTTCATACAATTCCTCAACCCGAGCAACTAATTTATTCAACAACAGCAGCTATTAATACTTTAGGATTATATCTTTATTTGTTCCTTCACTCTGTACTGTATTGTCATAATCAGTCACTTTAATCCGACAACCCATTCACCTAACACGTTGTTTAAAACCATTTCTATTCCTTGAATCCGTTCATCTCATTCATGAATAAATTTCCCCTTATAATTGCATCGTTTCAGAAAATACGTTCACATTCTCATTATTTAATACTTTGTATGTTGAACTTCTTTCGCACCATACGTAGCCAACCGTGCTGATCGTACGTGTTCAAGCGTCAACTAATTACATCAATAATTACATTTTCATTCACTGCAGTGTCTCACCAGAAATAAAAAAAAGCGTTGCCAGGTAAGCTATACAGCTCTTTTTTTCAGAAGCGACCTGTTCCACACACACGATAGCTCAACGAAGTGGCGGCTTATATAAATGTGGACATTTACAGCAGCCAAAATACTCTTAAAAGCCGTGTTTATAAATAAAGAGGGGGACACCTGAGAAACCGAAGAAAAATCCACGCGACCACGGGGAGAGACACGCAAACTACAAATATACAGCAGCAGGCGTCAGGGTCGTGATGGAACCACGACCTCCTGTACACCTGGCGAGAGAGTTAACATCTCAGAGCCACCGTGATGATGAGAGACACGCAAACTCCAAATATACAGCAGCAGCAGGCATCAGGGTCGTGATGGAACCACGACCTCCTGTACACCTGGCGAGAGAGTTAACATCTCAGAGCCACCGTGATGATAATGATGAGAGACACGCAAACTCCAAATATACAGCAGCAGGCGTCAGGGTCGGGATAGAACCACGACCTGCTGCACACCAGGCGAGAGAGTTAACATCTCAGAGCCACCGTGATGATGATGATGAGAGACACGCAAACTCCAAATATACAGCAGCAGCAGGCGTCAGGGTCGTGATGGAACCACGACCTCCTGTACACCTGGCGAGAGAGTTAACATCTCAGAGCCACCGTGATGATGATGAGAGACCACGCAAACTCCAAATATACAGCAGCAGCAGGCGTCAGGGTCGTGATTGAACCACGACCTCCTGTACACCTGGCGAGGGAGTTAACATCTCAGAGCCACCGTGATGATGATGATGAGAGACACGCAAACTCCAAATATACAGCAGCAGACGTCAGGGTCGTGATGGAACCACGACCTCCTGTACACCTGGCGAGGGAGTTAACATCTCAGAGCCACCGTGGCGCCGGATCGGAGGGAATGAACCAAACTCACCCATGACGCCTCCTCTCCCAAGCCGCGCTTTATCGATCTCAGTTCGCTTACTAGTGAATGAAAAATTCACCAAATGGAGTTAGAGACGGTAATTATGCGATTGAATCGCTGTCAGTAAATATGGAGTGGATTACATAACTCGCTAAATACGGAATTAATTGATCTCGTCACCAAACATGACGGCGAATCACACAGCCAAAAATGAACGTGGAGTGAATTAATCACTAAATATGGAGTGGATTACCGGAGCGGTCAATACACGGTACAAATGACATAGTAACCGAGAGAATGAATCAATGCACCAGTGACAGAGTGAACACGGAGTGAATGAATGTCCGAGGCAGTCCGTGACCACGGCTCTGGGTGGGATGCGGGGCACGCAGCCCCCCCTATCCGTCCCTCTTATTGCTCCTCGGGCGTGGGCACGTGCCCTCGTCACAGCCAATCGGCGAAGACGTCTCCTGAGGACGGTCGCGCGCGAGAACGCGACGGTGCGCTCCGATTGGTCGCCCGCCACGCAGCCCCTCCCCCCACATCTCCTTCAAATGGCGGGAAAATTATTGTCGTCTCGTGCTCGAGAGCCTCAACGCTCCCCCCCCCTCCTCCCGAGCAGCGAGTGGTACAGCCCGCGACGAGGATAGAGACAACGTTGGTTTTGGACCGCATCATTTGAATTGCCTGGAAGGGGGGGGGGGTCCAGAGGCGGATTACTTGCACGTTGTAGTCAGCGTTTTGCATGAAATAATGGGGGGCACTTTTGAATTTATTTCTCACGCTGTGGTGCGTGTATTGCCAAGGTAAAATAATACAATAATACATATCAACATTATCCGCTCATACAAATACTTTGTGGCATTTCCACCTGCAGAGTTCGGAGCCCGGAGCTGCCTGAAATCACTCTGCAATGATGCCCTTTCTGATGAGCTAATGCAGAGATAACATCATAACGACTGAATGTCATGCCATTTAAGCCACGTTGCGCACTCGTTTGACACAACTAAATCTAAACATACACACACACATCTGAATTTGTACTGGTATACCAATCAGAGAGATGGAATTTGCAAATACTGTACAAATCCTATCATGGCCAGATCCGCTCGAGCAGTTGGAAACATTAAGCTCTGCCAGCCGTGGAGGCGCGGCAGTCGGCCTCACAATGTCTCAAACTAACATTTTGGGTAAATAACTTCAAAAGCATCACTCCACCCAAAGGTGTGTGTCCCTCCTCCTCCCCAATGTCCCTCTGCGGAATGACTGCATCGTCGTTGTGATTGCACGACGACCCCCGTGCAGTGCAGGCCGCCAAGGCTGCTCGCAGTCTGGCGGACTCTGGGGGATTCACGTAAACAGCGGATTAAGTCGGCAGGGACAGCGCTGCCGCGTGAAGCAGAGCGCAGAGCGCGGGCAGAATACACGACGGGGGGCACAGAGAGCGAGCGGTGAGAGAAGAGACACGAGGCGGGGAGGGCGGACGATTTGCACAAGCAGGACGCGTGTGCATCATGTTCACACAGCAACGAAGGCACGGGAATGGTTGCATGTGCCACGTCTCATGTCCCACAGTGATTAACGGGCCGTACATAAATGACGTCACGCGATTTTTTGACTCCCCCCCCCCCTCTCTTCGTCACACGGCGTCACAAAAAGTCAGACACCCCCCCCCCTTAAATATGACGTCACAAAGCTCCCCCCCCAAAAATATATATAAAACATGCTTCAAATCGCTTTAAACTATTGTCATTGTAGTGCGTATTTAATGTGGTGCTGCACTCTGATGTAGGAGAAAACATTTATTAAAAAGTATATTTAATTAAGTAGGACGTGTTGTCTGTATATATTTAAAGTTGCGCATTTTGATGTGATGTCATATTTCTCAACCCCCCCCCCCTTCGTCACACATCGTCACAAATGTCTGCCCCCCCCCCCCCAGCTGCGTGACGTCATTTATGGACGGCCCCTAAGGCACGGCAAGGATCCATAGGACATTACGTAAATCTACCTTTGGGGGGGGGGGGTAGGGGGGATGAGTAGGTGGTTGTGGCATTCCATTTCCTAGATTTAAAGCTTTCGTGACTGCTAGGATCCATACTCTTTGGTTCTATTGGGTAAAGTCACGTAGGTGAAAATAAAATAACAAAAAATCACGACGTTTCGGCCACAACACAAGCGGCCTTCATCAGGTGAAGGGACGAGACTGTCCTCCAGACTGTCCTCCAGACAGAGTCTCGTCCCTTCACCTGATGAAGGCCGCTTGTGTTGTGGCCGAAACGTCGTGATTTTTTGTTATTTTATTTTCACCTACGTGACTTTACCCAATAGAACCAAAGAGTATTCCATTTCCTTATTGAGGACACGCACCACCCCAGTTGACACGCACATCTCACCCTATTAACAAGCTCTTGGCACCGAGGCGTGTTGACGTAAAGACACCGTTGCCACTCAGCTCATAAGCCCCTGCTTGGTGGGAGCCACCACTGCTCTAAATCCACTGCGTGAACAGGATGTAAATCAAGCCGATTCGCTCCAATGGGGCACGATTTACGCCCATGTTGGGACACGCTGCCTACCACGTCAGATGATGCCCCAGCTGCATTTGCCAGCTGCCGCTGGGACATAAGATGCACACCGCGTGAACTGCAGTGGCCAAACGGCGCTCCACACTGGCTCCGCCGGTGAGATACATTGTCCTCCATACCTACTGACAGCGACATTGGAAATGGAACACATTGATCAGTCACCAATGCAAATTAGAGACACATTGACTTAAGAAACACAAGTGGGCTTGGTTAGGGCATATCGCAAGAAGGGATGATTACAGATTGGCAGCCAGAGGGAACACCCAAGAGGATTACCACATTGGAGATGGAGTGATAGAATCAGCTCATGCGCAAACAGATAGATGGATTATTACAGTTTATAAATGTGAATGTAATGTTTAGCAGAAACCAAGAGCTATGGCGACAGCTTGGAGACGCCTTCAACCAGCAGTGGATTAGATAATGTCTAATAATGATTGGTGTGGTTCAAAATGTTTTTTTTCCCAATTTTCAGACAAAAGGTGCATTTAAATGATCAGACATGAATAAATATGAATAACGTTACATGTGCAGTTTGAATACTTCCTCCATCCGTTGTCCTCTGACAAAAAATGCCATTGTTTCGTTGTCAAATCAGCCTCATTAAATGTGTCCAGTCGGAGCAGCTTTTGGAGCGTTTAATACATACTCTATAGTGTGCCCTTGTGCAGATCTTGCATGACCAAAAATAACCCCCTTCAACAATCAGGGCAGCAGGTATGGATAGACAATTCATACTTTACATATGTGATGAACAGCAGCCACCGCCGTCTGGCACACACAAAAAAACCCAAACAATGTTGGGAAAGGCTGGCATCTGTATTAAACAGCAGATGGCGATAGTTTTCTGTACAGCATCACACGACTCGGGTATAGCAAGCTGGATAGTACGATAATTTCCTTGGGAGATACCGATGGGAGACACCGATGCGTTCTTGACAGGCGCAGATTTTCGTTAAACGAAATGTAAAATGATGGCGAAGAAATTAATATCACAAATCGCTGTGTTCACATACTGCTTGGATGGGATCACACGTGTGCGTGTGTTAATGAGAGCTCAAACATTACATCTAGTCATAAACATGATTTTACAATAATTAATAAATAGATAATATTACGATATTCTGCATTTTGCTAGCCTGACGAGTTGATTAAATCCAGGACAATTTAGATTATAATGTCTCCATCACTTCTTCGTCCAGAATATCCACATTTTTACATATAAGATTTAGCGTGTTCCATGTAAAATTTTTTAAAGCAAAGTGTCCCTCGGCTCAAATGAACATTAGGTACCGTATCCATCTCCATTTGTGGCCGAGTCAGTGCCACATGTCACGTTCATAAACCAGGGACCAGGAACTGCATGTGAGAATCACTGCTGACTCCGCACATACCGTGTGATACCATAGATCTCCGATCCCCTTTTTAAAAAGTGAGAGTGCAGCTCAGCAATTGTTCTCTCGCACACCGCAGCTGGCAGAAAGGCCTCCACTATGGATGATAGTCCCCTATCTCTCATACCTGGTACACAAATCTATCCGTGGCCTCGCCCCAACGTATCATCTCGCTTCCCTCGTTCTACAAAACCTTCTCGCTCTCTGCGTTCACAATCCCAGCTGTCTCTGTTCCGCCTCCTCCCTGTGCACAATCACGACCACGTTCTTTCTCGCTTCTGGCCTCCTTACACCGTAACAAGCTGACCCTACACCTTAAACAAGCAGCCTCGCTCTCCATTTTTCGTTCTTCCCTTAAAACACTAACTTTTGCCTCGCTTACCCAAACTCCTCTTCCCCATCATCTCCTTTCCCAACTTCCCTACCCGATCATCGCACTCACTCATCATCAACCACTCATTGTCACTCTCATCATCGTTTATTTCACGCACCATCATCATGCTTATCATGCACTGCCATCCTTCTCATTAACTCATCTCGTCACAGTTCTGCTGTACAAATAGTGAATTCCTTATTTGAGCGCCTTAATCAAGGCGCCATGCAAGTTAAAATAAGATATGCGTTCTACATGTATGGTCTCCAAATTATCTTCTGAATACATATATCCTGTCTCTCATCTCTCTTCTGAATACACATCTCTTATGTCATGTGTTTTCATTTGCTATATTTCCCATCTTATAAAAGCATCCTATATATTGCTATTAATACTGTACTGTCTATATGTGTTATCTCATGTCTTGTCTGAATGCAACAATTAACGACTTTCGTATGACTATATCTCTCCTATCTCTTTTGCATGGATGCGGCTCCTATTAATCAGCTATAACATATAATAGTGTGAGCATTATAGCACTGTACATGTTTAATCCTGCAGCTCTTTGCATGTTCGTCAATCTGTTTTGGGTTTGTAATATTGGCACAAACTCGTGAAAATCACTATTTTGTGGGTAGTCAGAAGTAGTTTCTTTATGGAGAGACTTGTCCCCACCACAGGAATGTGGAATTTCCTTCACGAGTAGGATCACTCATGGAGATGAGAATTACATAAAACTATTTGGCATTGAGATGATAGCAACTGCAATACAGCATGCAATTGCAAACTATTATTTTTGTTAACATGCCTTATACTTCGTGCATTTTGCTGTACTGCACAACAACCTATTTTTACCCGTAATATTAGGTGACTCAGTAGCAGGGTTTAAAGATCCCACCGAGAAGGCTCTGTGAAGTGGAAATTGGTCCAGGGTTTGCTTTGTTTGATCAAACACAACTGGGATACATTCATCTGAAGTGAGCATTTTTTTACGGATATGCTAGTGCATTAAACACAGCCTATGACTTATACATTGCATATATTTTTGGTGTTGTGCACATACAAGCTGCAGAAAGT